CCTCTCACAGCATGGGCTTGAGGTCCTCGGCGACGGTGAACCGGCGCCTCCGTCTTGCTCTTGATCTCCTCGACCGTCACGCCGTCGGCAATCTCGACGAGCTGCAGGCCGTGGGCAAAGTCGACGTCAAAGACACCCTGCCCAACGTTAGCGTACATTCTCTCCCTCGTCTTCGCACGGCATGCACCTACCAGTTCCGTAATGATGCGCGAGACGCAGGCGCGGCCCGTCAGCGGAAAGGCGCACTGCTTGACAATCTTGGGGTTGCCCTTCTTGTCCGTGTGCTCCATGGTGACGACGACCTTGGTGGCGCTGGGGTTGCTGACGAGGTCCATGGCGCCGCCGAAGCCCTTGACCTTGCCGGGCAGCATCCAGTTGGCGAGGTCGCCCGTGCTGCTGACCTGCATGGCGCCGAGGATGGTGAGGTTGATGCGGCCGCTGCGGATCATGCCGAAGCTCTCCTCGCTGCCGAAGACGGCGGCGCCGGGGTTCAGCGTCACCGTCTCCTTGCCGGCGTTGATGAGGTCGGCGTCCTCGAGGCCCTTCTTCGGGTAGGGGCCGAGGCCGAGGATGCCGTTCTCCGACTGCAGCTGCACCTCGACCTCGGGGCCGACGAAGCCGGGCGCCAGCATGGGCATGCCGATGCCGAGGTTGGCGTACATGCCGTTCTTGAACTCCTTGGCGGCGCGGCGCACGATGCGCTCGCGCTTGGCCGCCGTGTCGCCCGAGCCGAGCGCCGACTTGGCCGACGCGTCGCTGTCGTCCTTGGCCCACGTGTACTTTTCAATCTTCTTGTCCTCGGTGCTCTGGATGACGCGCTTGACGTAGATGCCCGGCAGGTGGATGGCCTCGGGGCTGATCTCGCCGGGCTCGACAATGTGCTCGGCCTCGACAATGGTCATCTTGGCGTTGCGGCCCATGGCGCCGTTGAAGTTGTTGGCGGCGAGGCGGAACTGGCAGTTGCCGAGCTTGTCGGCCTTGTAGGCCTTGACAAAGGCGTAGTCGCCGTCGATGCTGTGCTCGAGCAGGTACGACTTGCCGTTGAACACCTTGACGTCCTTGGGGTACGAGAACTCGGCCGGCGTGCCGTCGGCCTTGTTCTTCAGCGGCAGGTCGCCCGTCTGCACGACCGTGCCAAAGGCCGCCGGCGTGTAGAAGGCCGGGATGCCCTTGCCGCCGGCGGCGCAGCGCTCGGCGAGCGTGCCCTGCGGCGTCAGCTCGAGCTCGACCTCGCCCGTGAGGTACATGGTCTCGAACGTCTTGTTCTCGCCAATGTAGCTGGCCACCATCTTCTTGATCTGCTTCGTCTTGAGCAGCTGCCCGAGCCCCGACGTGTCGGTGCCGGCGTTGTTCGAGACAGCCGTGAGACCCGTGAGCTCGGGCTTCTTCAGCACCTCGTTGATCAGCGTGTCGGGCACGCCGCAGAGGCCGAAGCCGCCGCACAGCAGCGTCGAGTTGGGCTTCATGTCCTTGAGGGCCTCAGCCGCCGAGGGAAACACCTTGTTGATCTCGAGTCGGCGGCTGGACGCCGAGAAGGCGCGCGCCAGGAGGGGTGTGGTCTGCATGGGCCCGTGTCAGTCTCGCTGCCTGTGACTTGGCTGCCGCCGGCCATTGACGAGCGATGGTCGGGCGTAGTACGGGGAGGCTTACATTGGAGCCATGGCGAGCATAGGCTCGTACTGTCCTCAGGCAGAGCGCGGCAGAAGACATTGTGTTGTGTAGGTGAATGGTCCCAATGCCTATACTGTGATGGACTGACTACCAGAGGGGTGGAGGGGTTGTAGCGACGATGAGACACACAGGCAGAGTGACCAGGGTCAGACTATGACGAGGGGGGGACGTTCAGGGTATAAAGCAGAAGAAGAGCAATGGGTAGAGAGTAGGTTCAGGAAGCGAAGCCGGAGGAGAGAGAGAGAGGAAGGGGGGTGGGAGAAGAGAAGGAGGAGCGAGCAACAACGGCGACAATGGTCGAGGTGCAGCCGGCGATGGAGGGCGACTTTATTGACCCGGCTGTTTAAACCGGCAGTGGCCGAGGTGAACGATCCAAAGGGGAAGCTGCACCTGGGTCCAGCACTGGGCCACTGGGCCACTGGGCCACTGAGCCACTGGGCCACTGGGCCACTGAGCCAGGCGAGCCACTGCGGGCCACTGTGTGAGTGAGCCACTGGTGACCACCACTGGTGACCACCACTGAAGAGGGCTCGGGATGTGGCCCAGCTGCCGAGGATCGCTTCCGACAGCCTTCCGACGTGCGGAGTGCCCCAGTGCCCCAGGCTCCTCTAGCTCCCCTTGCTCCCCTTGCTCCCCTTGCTCCCCCAGGTCCAAGGCACACACACAAGAACGTAGCATTCTTCCGCCGTTCCTCGTTCCCCGCATTGTTCCGTCATCCGGGTAAGTCCTCTGCCGCGCCTCTCTTGGCGAGCACGGCCACTGTATTATGTCAGCTACGACTGCCAGCATGTGGCTGGAGCTCTGTCGTCGTTTCGTCCCGCCTTATCTTATCAGAGCCCCACGCCGCTGCAGAAAAAAGTTCACGTCGAGGTGCAGGTCGACCAGAGTCCGTCAAATGGCGAGTAGGAGCTCATGCGTTTTTGCGAGGGCATACGGTCGTCTAATACCTTTTTTTTCCCTCGGCCAAAATTTAAAGCTCCTTCACCCGGCCTGCCAACCGACAACCCACGCCACCATGGAGTCTGGCGCCAAGCGACGCAAGGTCTCTCACAATGGCGACGCCCCCAAGTCCAAACGATCCGTCGCCATGGCCACGGCCAGTCCTTTCGTCCTGCAGACCGAAGAGCTCCTGAAGGAGGTCAAGGTCGACTACGCAGAGACCTTTGACGGCGCCGACGCCCTTTTGAAGCAGATCAAACATGTCATCGACGGCATTGCCCCGCAGGAGGCCGCCCCCGTACGAACTCCCCTCTCGACTCTACATCGAACACTCGTCTCGCGGCCGTGAACTATGCTGACCCCCCTGCCCCTCCCAGATCTCCGATGCCACGCGCAAGTTCCAGAAGAAGCACCACATCCAGATCCCCTTTCCCGACCCCAAGCCCGCCGCCGACGCCCCCTACAAGCTCGCCTACGCCAAGCCCGCTGCCTGCAATGTCGTCGGCAGCTACGTCTCGCGCACCATGATCCAGGGCCAGGAGGACAAGTGCGTCGACATGATTGTGCAGATGCCCGCCTCGCTCTTCCAGGACAAGGACTTCCAGACCATGCGCTACTTTTACCGTCGCGCCTACTATATCGCCAACATTGCCGCTGGCGTTCGCGAGGCCCTGGGGTCGTCTGTCGACCTTCTGTTCGAGAACCTCAACGAGAACAGCCTTCTGCCTATTTTGACCATTCTTCCCAAGGTCGAATCGGAGAGCGTGAAGAAGGGCGGCAACAAGGCGGGAAAATCGGAAGAAGACGACTCGGAAGAGGAGGAGGGTGACGACCGAGACGATGACAACGAAGACGAAGACGACGACGACGACGACGAAGCTGAATATGCCATCCGCATCATCCCCTGCGCCCCCGACGGCCTCTTCGCCAAGTCCAAGCTCATCTCCACCGCAAACAACAACAAGGGCCGACGGCGCAGACGCCCCGACCCCGTTCTACAACTCAACCCTCAAGGCTGAGGAGACATTCGTCACATACCTGCGCGTCTTGACCCCGCGCGAGGACCCAGTGCAAAGCCTTCGCGGATGCCTGCATCCTCGGCAAGGTCTGGCTCGA